AGGAAGGACGGAGCTATTACTTGAGCTGAGAGTAACCCTACATTAAGTCCAATATAAGTATGATTCTTTTAAAGTGCTACGCCTTTGAAAACAACAATCTTTCAACGACCTGTGAACCAAACCCACCCCCACCTCCAACAAAAAAACCCACAGCTCAATCACCGGCAATGGTCTCTATGCAGAGGAAGACTCCTGCTGATGCTCTGGCTGCTAAAAGGGCCAAAGAAGACGAGTCAGATACCCACACCTCTATAGATGGCGCTTCAGATGAATTCGAGTTTGGTGGTTCGTTCGGTGCTGCGCTGTTGATGACGGGCTTTCCACTCTTGATGTGGTACATGTGGATTGGCGCAACATATTATGATGGCAAGCTTCCTCTGCCCGATACAAATCAGACCCTAGCCGACTTTGTTTTTCACCTATGCAGATTAATTTATGAGGGAGCTTATCCAACCGCGAAAGCATGGGCAATCTACTGGACATTCTTCATCCTAGAGGCTGTCATGTACTGCTATATGCCAGGCGTTTCGAGCGTGGGGCGGCCACTGAAGCACGAAGGAGGGAAAAAGCTTCCCTACTACTGCTCCGCCTATTGCAGTTTCTATGCGACGCTTACCATCGCTGCTGTCTTGCATTTCACTCGTGTCTTCCCTTTGTACACCCTGATTGACGAATTTGGATCTATTATGAGTGTCGCTATCCTGTCCGGCTACCTGAATAGCTCTATCGTCTACATCCAAGCTATACTGCGCGGGCGAACCCACAGGTTGTCGGGCTCCCCTGTCTATGATTTCTTCATGGGTGCTGAGCTGAATCCCCGCATTGGTATCTTGGACTTCAAGATGTTCTATGAGGTCAGAATCCCGTGGTTTATTTTGTTCCTTATCACCTGCTCTGCGGCAGCTCGTCAGTATGATATCTACGGCTACGTCTCGGCGGAGGTAGCGTTCTTAGCTGGAGCGCATTACCTGTACACCAATGCCTGCGTCAAGGCTGAGCAGATGATAATCACAAGCTGGTAAGTCTTTCGAAAATCTAGGGCTCGACGAATTAGCCGAGCTGATGCCGGAACAGGGACATGTATTTTGAAAAGCTGGGGTTTCTGCTTACCTTCTGGAATATGGCTGGTGTGCCGTTCACTTATTGCCATTGCGCCCTTTATCTAGCCAACCATGATCCTTCGGAATATCGCTGGAATCGTTACTGCCTTTCCGCGTTCGCTGTTCTATATATCTTCTTTTACTGGGTGTGGGATAGCTCAAATGGCCAAAAGAACGCCTTTCGCCACCAAGAAAAGGGTCAGCTCTTCAAGCGGAATACTTTCCCTCAAGTTCCGTGGCAGGCTATCAAGAACCCCAAAGTAATTGAAACTGATACGGGCGATAATATCATGGTTGATGGCTGGTTTGCAATAGTACGGAAGCCAAACTATGTTCCTGACATGTTCTTTTCTATGTCTTGGGGTCTCATCACCGGTTTCAAGTAAGAGATTCTGTTTGCAAAAGTCATGAGTTGTCAGAACTAACTGCCTGCTATTAGGAGCCCATTCCCTTGGTTTTATTTTATTTTCTTCATGATCATGATTATCCACCGCACCAATCGGGACATTAACAGATGCCGGAGGAAGTACGGTGAGGCCTGGAAGCGCTACGAGAGAGAAGTCCCCTACCTATTTATTCCAGTAAGTCTACAAATGGCGAACCTAGGGGGCCAAAATTGCTAACATCGTTGAAGTATGTGATTTAATTTGTGGGCGCAACATAGAGCAATCATTAGCTCTTCGCTCTCACAAACGATGCTCGAGATTTGGAGCTCTTGTAACATAGCTTTTCCCCACACCTATGACTACCGGGTCTAAGTGCGGTGATTCTGCCCATTTTGGCAAGCATAAAACTCCTGGCTTGTAATAACTGGCCCTGAGATATTCAGTATTGTATTAGTATCGCGATTGCATGTGCAATCCTTTTGGCAACGGTGCTTTGTATAGATTGATAGAACACAGCCTTTGAGGCTTTTCTGTGTAGTTAGCTTTTAGACGTCTTTCACCAATGTCCCAAAGTTATCCCATGAATCTATGATACGGCACCTTAAATTCCTGTTTCTTTTGTCCAAATATCCCAACAAGAAGATTTGTAATTTCTCCGAGAGGGGTTGTGAATGGCGGTTGCTCTGAGAACTACTCGGGAGCACTAATATGAAACCAAATTCCGCAACCGTCATCTAACATCCATGCCTATCTGACAAAACCAAAACTTGCCTATAGGAATATGAGGTGCGATACTAGACACTTTCGTGATGAGCTCCAGGCGCCGCTTTTTTCGTTTTCGACATTCAGCGCCATCTCTACCCTCGAGCCACCGCTTTGCATTTCTCCTGGGCGTTTAGATAAGGTAAAGGATGGACAGGAGGACGGCGGCTACAAGGTTACTGCACTTTTAGTCGTATTTCCCTGACCGAACGTGCAGCCATATTTGAATTTTTGGTTCTTACCAAAGTGGAGATTTAGATTTGGTGGACTTCGGTGACAACGCCAAAAGTCCTTATGTCAATGCGCAACGCCACGAAACTCTCTCTGTTGATTCTCCATCCCTCATGGTACCGACCAAAAACTATTTATGATGCCAACCTTGCCCACTGTGGGGCATCCGACACCAAGATTCTAGAAATTGTGCCTCACATAGATAACCCCGAATATGTCGACCGACGCCAGTAAGAAAGACGATTGCGTGGAACTCAAGCCTTCCATCCAGCACCTTGAGTCTTCTGGTTGTGAGACTCAAGAGGAGAGGGATTCCCTTCCAGCGCCTGCTTGTGCTTCCGACTTCTTTCCGGATGGAGGATATAGAGCCTGGCTCAATGTGGTTGCCGGCTGGTTGACGCTCTTCGCAAGCATAGGATTTACAAATGGGCTATCCGTCTTTCAAAGTTATTATAGCTTGACTATATTGTCTGCATACAGCCCCAGCGACATTGCATGGATTGGCAGCATTCAATTTTGGGGTTGCTTCTTCTTTGGACTATGGGCGGGCCGTCTATCTGACAAGTATGGACCACGAATTCCCCTCGGCATCGGAACATGCTTTCTGGTGCTGGGGATCATGACAGCATCCGTTTCGACCAAATTCTACCAACTCATCCTCTCCCAGGGGCTTTGCATCGGACTTGGGAGTGGACTTGTGTTCCCACCAGCTGTAGCGATCCAGTCTCAGTGGTTTCTGAAAAAACGTGGATTTGTTGTCGGTCTGGTAATGTCAGGCCAAAACTTGGGAGGTGAGTGTGGGCCTAACGGTCTTTTTGTGCATCGTACTGACTGGGGCCCTTTTGTCTCTAGGTGTTGTCTGGCCAATCGTAGTGAATCAGCTGATTGAGTACGACGGAATATCACTAGGCTGGTCGCTACGCATCATTGGCTTTCTGCAGTTATTCCTCATGGTCATCGCGACGCTGCTAGTCCAGGCCCGATTTCACGATATCCCACAGGAGCCTCTCCCACTAAAGGCATTCGCTACAAACGTCCATACTGTCTTATTTACTCTATCCACAGTAATATTTTTCCTTGGCATTTTCGTTCCCTATGTAGGTGACTCTCCATAAGCGAATCTCCATCGATCAGTGTTGACGGCAGCTGCCAACCCGCAGTTCTTCGTCAGCTCGTATGGGATGAAATGGGGTGCTTCGACCGGGGAAGCTCTTTATCTGTCATCAATCTTGAATGCCGCTGCATTCTTTGGATGCTACGCCTGGGGTATTGCCGCCGACGCTTGGATGGGCCATTTTGACACATTGACTCTCGCTGCCTTTTGTGCAGCCATTACAACTTTTGGATGGATTGGCGTGCGTACGTACACCGGCACCGTCGCGTGGAGTGTCGCATATGGCTTCATGTCTGGGGGTGTCCAGGCTCTGTTTTCGCCGTGTCTTTCCTACTTGGCACCCTCACCAGCCTTGATTGCTACCTGGAATGGTGAGAAGCTATCTCAATTGCCACTTCTGTGGGCGTTGGAAGACGTTTTCTTTGGACTGACCATGCACAGGAATATTTCTAACCATATTATCGCTGCCCGTTCTTGGCACTGGTCCAATTGCTGGCCGGCTGCTCTCAAACACGCAGGATGATAACTATTTGCCCATGCAATTATTTACGGGGATCGTCGCAATTGTCGGAAGTTTCCTTTTTCTGGCCACACGCTTTGCCGTGTCTCGCAACGGAGGGATTTAACAAGCCTTATATTCTTTCATTTCAAACTTCCCCGGGCAAAGGGATAACGTTCGTGTCCCTTGTTCTGCTGGCCACTTGTGGTGGCTGATGGAAATTAAAAGGAATCCAATAGCACTAACCTATGATTGCAATACAATATGCTCAATTCGTTTTTCAAAATTTTTTTTCAAAATTTTTTTTCTTTTCATTTCCTCCCCCCACCAAAATAAGAAAAGTCCACTCTGCCAAGGTCCAGTACCTGCATGTACTTGTAGTGTAAAATGATAAAAAAAAAAATGGTTCGCAGAAGCGGAGAGGAGCGGTGGCGAATCAGAGAGCGAACCTAATACGCCTACACAGTTCTTAATAGACCCAAGTGGCCAAGCTAACCCCCGCAAGGTTCCCAATAAGAGCAAGTGGTTCAGCCAATGATATTAGATGATCTTATCTACGCGCACACTTGAGGATGTGGGAAATGGAACTGTTCTCGGTGCCCGCGGGCTTGCCTGTGGGGCTGATGAACATATAGGGTTGGGCGTCCACCGCCACTCGCCAGATCAAGCTAGGGTGGCTTCCAGGCTCCGGCGATCTTTGAGATTGTTCTGATGTGTTTGTAATTTAGTGTTTCAAATCATATTATGAAAGAGCGCGCGGTCTCATCATCATCATAACCCCTTACGGTTGGAATTTGTGTTCAATTGCAATTAGGTACCAAATGGAAATTGATATGACGCACATGAGTGGTCCAATCATATCCTCTTACGGTAAAAAAGATTCTTTGCTCTCGGTTTTTACATTGCACCCAAGTTCTGTGGACAATTCAATGTCCCAACGTAGTTGTGTTATAATATAGAAGACTAGCGCAGACAGACTACGTGGAGATTATCCAAGATATATTACGGTCTGATGCGACCGCATATGCTTTTGCAATCCATAGGGCCCGAAATACAGAGCATTATTTTCAGCCCACAGACTCTCTAGCATTGCCTTCATCTTCGTCACAGCAGATATTGGCGCTTTGTGGGATAACAGCGATCGTAGTATATCCCGTTCCTCTTCCTTAAGGAGGCAGGACCCTACCACGATAGTTGGCCACAGGAGAATGTTTCTGAAATGCGTGTCTATCAACGTTGGTATGAGAGCCAGAGCATGGAGGGCATGCTCCCGAACAATGGATAGTCGGCTCTCATCTCCCGTAAGAGTACCACACCACATAGCGTCGTATGCAAAAATTGTCAGCGCGTGACGATACACTGCTGAAACCGAGAGACTTGGTCCATGTTCAGGATCCAGGGTAGCTGCTAGGACATCATCGGCAAACTCAATTGTCTCAATCATGCCAATTATTGAATCGAATTCCGCCCAGCTTTCGGTGGAACACTCATTAAAGGTCATCTCTGCCTGTCGGCGTATGCAAAGAGCAACCACACGCGGGATCACCTCCAAACATTGATAGATAGGTGAAACAATGATGCCGAAAATCCCGTAGTTTCTGATGATGTCCCAGGAGGGCAGAAGAGAGGTGCGCGTATCTAGCTCAGATTCTGTCCCATTGGTATAGGGCGTAGGGCTGGCTACAAGGGCCACGTATGCGTATAATTCGAAGGTTAGGCCGCAGAGTGTTCGTGAACTGCTCGTTTTGGAGGACGTACTTAGCAGTTGACAGACGACTTGTTTTCCTGCGCGAATATGCATAATTGCCCCTTCATCTTGCAACGGATTGAAAACCTAGGGGAGTAGTATATAGTTAGATCCAGAATATCCGGCTTCAATGTATAAGCTTTTTTTTTGCCACTTTACAGGATTCCGGAATCACTTATGGCTCCAAGCTCACCAAGGATTGAAAGACTGGAAGGTGATGGGCATACTCCAATTAGGTATAGAATCAGCAACGCCAGAAGGGCTCGAAGCCATTCGTATGACTCACTTGATTTTCGCGAGATGATGCCGGTTAGGAGGTGGATCACGCGCCCATAATGTCGGCATACGCACGCCTTGATTTCTGGGGAGCTTTGTTTGCGCTCCAAGTGGGCTCCTCCAAAAGCGAGTAGAGAATGGAGGATCAACTCATCCGAGAAAGCAAGCGGGAGAATATGCGTTAGAAATGGGTTCTTCTCGGGGCCAACAGTTGTCATACATCTGCTAGTCTCGGCGACAAAGTGGGCTAGAAACATGGATGATACGGGGTCCAGGGAGAAACTTTGCGGTGCGATGAGACGCAGACCGTCATCATTACTCCCCGCACCCTCGTCCGATGCAGAAGGTGGAGAGAGGGTTTCCTCGTCGCCGGCGTTCACCTCAGTAAGGACATCTGGGATCGGAGGCCGAGGATCATGAACTAATCGCGACCGGTCGGACTGGGGCTCGCGCCGAATAGTGTCTGGCCATTGACAAGTCTTTCCCTTCAACAAACAGCGAGAACATGCGGGCCGACGCTCGTCACATTTCTTGTGCTGGCGCCGACACACTAGGCAGCCGGATCTGGAACGCGGATAGGGAAGTCGTATTCTTTGCCGAGGATATCTCACGGCATTTTCCCGAGTACCATGCGACATCGTTAGAATACCTGATCGCTTATTGCTTGGAGAAGGGGGGTGTCCAACGAGGCGACAATGAGGGGCCCCAGACGGCTAGATAAGAAGTCGTGGGACCAGACGATGACTTGACTTACCCGACGCCGAGGAGGCGATTAAATTGCTACGTAATCTTCCCCAACTTCCGATCGTCGCTAGGCTCCCATAGGTAGGTATTATTGTCACTTGACCGCGGAGACCGACACTTTGGCAGTGTAGTCCACTAGTGGACCATGTTTGAGAATAGTGGAGTGGAGCCATGGATTAAAGTTTATTCAGCACTAAATGTGTTTCTCTTCGGCTGGTGGTTGGAGATGGAGAGCGGCTAGCGGTTAGATAATCTCATACTAGTTTGCGTGAAGAACATCACGACGCTTACTGTCAAACAACGAGAAGAAAAGCGAAGCGGCAAAGAACCATAATCTATTTGCTTTGTTTTTTTTTTGGCCGGGGGAGCAAAAGTTGTTGAGTTGTTCCCTGCCAGCTCATGGATTAGATATAAATAACATGTCCATCATGACAGAGTGTCTAATCCACACACACACACACACACACACACACACACACATCATCATCCAGTGGGTTTTATAGTGCAACTTCGTTTCTACTCTTCAGAATAACCAGCCCTTATCCGCCATGACTGCTGTCCCTATTCCCCGTGTATCAGCAACCGATGATCCGGAGCGAATCACCCAAGTCCTACGTCAAGCCGGCGCCCTCATTGTCGAAGGTCTTTTGTCTAGAGATCAGGTCCAGGACTTGAACAACGAACTTGACAAACCGTTAGAGGCTATCAGTTCGGGCTCCAAGCACAATGTTGACCTAATCAAAGAGTTTCACGGCAGCAACACCAAGCGCCTCACAAACGTTACAACCCATAGCAAAATCTTCCGTCACCAAATTATTGAAAACGAACTGGTCCACGCCGTAGCGGAGAGGGTCTTCCACGAAGACTCTGGAACATACTGGATGGGTGCCGCTCAAGTGATCCAGATTGGACCTGGAAACAAAGCTCAGCCGCTTCATCGAGACCAAAGCCAGTACCCAATTTTCGATCTTCTGGGCTCGAAGGCGCCGGAGGCGACCATGAATTGTCTCATTGCCTTGACAGACTTTACTGAAGAAAATGGCGCTACCAGACTTATTCCCGGCTCTCACCTGTGGGAAGATTATTCCGATCTGGGATCACCGGACCAGACCCTTCCGGCTGTTATGAAAGCGGGGGATGCTATTCTTATGAGTGGCAAGACCGTGCACGGTGGCGGGTCGAACAAAACTACTGATGAGCAGCGCCGTGCCCTGGCATTCACTTTGCAGTGTAGCTATTTGACTCCCGAGGAAGCAAATCCATTCATCATTGGATTGGATATTATCAAGAGTATCTCTCCAAGAGCACAGCGGCTTTTGGGCTTCCGCTCGCAATTCCCGAAGCCCTCGCCCGGTCTATGGCAGTCGGACTATTCCGAGATCGCAGACGTTATTGGTCTCACAGGAGACGATCCCGCTCTTGAACGCTTAAGGCAAGGGATCAACGTGAATGTCTAGCAGGAAAATAGGCGCCTCGACGGATACAAGGAACCAGCAATGTAGACGGTAATTCGTCCCGTCCCGTCGACTATCGGACCATCAAAACTTCAGATATGAAATTTCGATGATATTTGTTTTTGTATTTTTACAGCCAGTATGCATAGCAGCTAGAATTCAGACCACTCTTCTCTTTTATACTTTGCTCTTGTCGATAAATCTACATCTATATGATTTTTTCATATAGTTTTACTAGAAGGCTGGCGGTCATTGGTAAGTTCGTAGTGGGTGTTTCTCAGTGCCATCGACCATATTATCAACGTCAGCGTAATGCAGACTGATACTGTTCAAGCTTCCCAGTACTATCTTCGTATCCATTTCTGTAACCTGGATGAATTTCCCCCCCCCCCCCACATCACGCACACACACACACACACACAGAGAGAGAGAGAGAGAGAGAGAGAGAGAGAGTGTGTGTGTGTGTGTGTATGTAAACTGTTGTTCTTGCAACGACCCCATAATTCTCGAACTGTGCTAGGTACCAGCTGCTAGATCTCGGGGGCTCCAATATGGTTTTAAACCAAAAATGGGCTTTCTTGCTTTCTTTCATTTAGTGAGATGTGTTGCCGTTAGCCGTGCTACATATGTTCAAGCTTTCAAATTTGCCAACTAATTCAATGGAATTTATCGCAAAACTATAGTTTAGCCTCCACGCCCAATGCTTCCTCTATCAGATCCACAGCAAGTTCTGCACACCCAAACGAGGACTGATAGCCAGCCCCGCCGGCGCCGTAATTATGGACGACCCATGTATCACCAATGCGCTCCTTCTCCACCCTTGTTCCTCCCTCACGTACTGGCCTCAACCCCACACCGTGCCGGATTATATCAAGATGCTCGATCCCTTTCCCACCAGTCAGAGATGGGCACAGCTTGACTGCCCTCTTCATGATCCTAATAGCAAGGTTAGGATCAACCTGAGAATCCCAATTACCTTTCTGGTAGGAGCCACCGAGGATAGTACCACCGCCGGCAGCCCTCGTCATAACATAGCAGACCTCATCGTCTCCATCATCAGTTCCAGATATATTAACCATCTTGCCCGCATCATTACGGACAACTACTATTTGGCCACGAGCAGGAACCACTGACTTATCTTCCACACCACCGAGTCGAGATGCCATGAGACCAGTGCAATTAACTATCAAGTCAACCGAGCTGCCTGACTGGATCTCTTGAGAGGAAGCTTCCAACACATGTTTAAAATCAGCGCGTCTAAAAACGACACCGTTTTTAAGGCACTGGGACACGAGCCAGGGAAGATATATAGCTGTATTGATACAGACGGAGGTGAAGACCGTAGCGGAATTCACCGAATGATCTAGGGTATCCGTGGAAAGCGTCCGGAACTTCGAGAACCCAAATTAGTGGTCATTGAAACACGCTCATCGTACCAGTCAAAGAAGATGCTTTCTTACATGAGGCACAACATCTTTGAACCAAGGGTTTGGGGCCAGCAACTCAGAAAACCATTCTGCCGAAGCGGATCCATCGTCTTTAGCTCGGCTATAGATCTCACAATCTTTTTCATATTGTTAGCAGTCAATCACATATAACACTTACGGGCCAATGATCTACGGACCTTGTAGATGTACACCTGATTCTGGATGGTTGGTCGCTAGATCCAGCAGCCGCGTCCAGGTCTTTTTGTCCCACTCGGCTGCCAATGTCCCACGTCTTGAGACCCTGGCCGCTCCTCTTGTTAGCCCGGGACTATGTATGAAACTATTTACATCTTCTAGCACCACTCCACTCACGGCATGTAATTGGCCCCGGCCCATGGGGAAGCGTATTCGATGTCATAGTCACCCGGCATATGCTTGGCAGCCACCGTAATCCGGTATCCACTGCGTTCGGATAATAGGAGCGCCGTAGTGAGTCCGGCAACCCCCGCACTGGAAAGATGGGGTTAGATTTAATTCGCTATCGTTGCCACCATAATATTGCTGACTTACCCAATCACAACAACATTCTTCCGTGACATTCTTCAAGGCTAGCGGAGTCTGAACCGACGGTAGATGGTAGAGTTCCGTATATAATCGCCGCGGAGAGATGGGAGGGCAGGAGTAGGAGTGTCGAGTATTTCATCTGAAAACCTTGAGTCACCTCTGGACGTGGAGATAATTTTCTTTCCCCGTCGGACATATTGTATATATATTGAATTGACCCTGGCTGGGACGCACAGCTCCTCCATTTGTCCAGGTTCCCGTGCCACACCCGTAGGGAACCGGGGGTGAAACCCCCCCC